CGCTGTGTGTTTGTATGTGTGCTGGGGCGGGAGAGGGAGTTAAGAAACCTCACCAGCCCCCTCTGCTTTTCTCTCTTCAGGGAAAGCCTCTGCCAGCAGTTCTCCGGACTCCTTCCCCCAACTCCACCCTCTCCCAGAAACCCTGTAGGCTCTGCTGGGAGCAGACAAGAGGCCTAGAAATGTCCCTTCAGAGTCATGATGTGGGTGGGGAAGAGCACTGGACTGAGAGCCAGAGGCCCACGCCCTCGGCTGCCCTGCCTCGCCCTGTGGTCCTGGTCCATCAGACCCCTTCCTGAGTCCCGCTTTCCTCTGTAAAATGAGGGGACTGCACGAGATTGCCCCATTAGTCTTAGTCTTCACATTGGGGCTCCTCCACAAGGCCCAAGAATACAGTTGGGGCATTCTACGCCATTCCTTCTGGTACTTGGAGCAGATACCTGAGAGTAGTTAATGATTCCTTGTGTGACCTTGACTGGTCCCTTAAACCGTCCGGTCCCTGCACCTGCACATTCACTCATTCAGGTATTTCCAGGCGCTTATTGAGAATGTGGAGAAGATAGAGGCAGCCTGATTGACGTGAAAGAGGCCCTCAGCCCCTCCGTGCTGTCCTGTGCCACAGGCCAGCTACATGGCCCATTCCTTCCATGAGGACCCCCTTCACATGGTGCTGGAGGGCCCTGGAAACTTCTCTTCCCGTCGTGCCCAAAGCCAACCAGAGGGGGAAGCCGTGGTGCCTCCAGGGGAATAGAAATAGGGGTGATATCCCTGCCCCCTCCCCTCTCTCAAACCTCCCTGGTTCTGTTTGCCCTCTCTTGCTCTTGAGGGACAAGCCCCCACTCCCAACCCAATCCACCCCTCCCTGGTAAAATATGGGATGACCAAAGTGGAGACAGGCACCCTTTGGAAACCACATGCAGAGGTCAGAGATGGCTGAGTAAAAGCCAGCGGCTCTCTCCCAGCATTGCCCTTACTCCTGGCCTCACCTCCTAGAGCTCCCCTTTCTCCAGAGACCCAGGGAGGGTGGGAGGTGCGGAGAGAGCTCTCCAAGCCTGAGACAACCCCCCACAACTTTAGGAGGAGACAGAGGAGCTCCAGGAAGGAAGAGGGCTGGGAGCCCTGCAGGGACCCAGGGGGCCTAGGCCTCCCTTGGTGTCCTCTTAGGAGAAGACATTGGCCCTCACAGATCTGGCCTTGTGGCTTCTCAGCCCAGGTCTGCTTGGGGGCCAGGCAGTTGGAGACAGAGAAGAAGGGGGGCTGTGAAAGGAGGTCAGGAAGTAGAAGTAGTAGGGAGGAGGAGTGTTGATCTGGATTCTGACCAGCACCTTTATTGGGCACCTACTGTGTGCCAGGCGATAGGCTCTGTTCCAGCTTTCCCTGGGTTATCTCCTCCAGTCCTCACTTGAGCCCTATGTCAGTGTTATCGTCCTGCTGTGACAGAGAAGGAAACTGAGACTCAGAGGCGTTATGTAACTTGCCCAAGGTCACACAGCTTGTCAGGAGTGGAGCCAGGATCCCAGCCCAGGTCTGTCAGCCTCCAGTGGGTTCTCTCTGCTGCCAGAAAGTCCTCCTCCTGGAAAGCAGGTCTGGGGTTGGGGTTTTCAGTCAGAGCTCATCAGGATCCCCAGAGGTAAATCTATTGTCATCTGCCCTCCTCCTCCTCACCCATCTGCCAAGCAAGTCGCAGGTGAGCCCCCCGCCACGGCCCCTGCCCCAGCCCCAGGTGCTAGCTCAGCTTTGCCTGGCTCCCGGCCTCTCTCTGGTGCCCCCAAGGTGGCTCTGAGGTCACCCCACACCCCAATGCCTTTCATTCTGCATTTCCAGATCTCAGAATACATAGGAAAACGCAGGAAGAGAGAGGAGGTCACTTGAAGGTTGGAAGCAGAGGCTCTGGTCTTGGGCAAAGGATTGGGGGGCCTAGTTATCTCCTTTGATTCAAATGAACCCTTTCCCTAACTCCCACCCCTCACCCCCAGAGACAGCCAGAGCTTTGCTTAGTTAATGAAATACAAAAGAAGGAATCAGAGGGTGGGGGTGGTCGAGAGCACTGGAAAGCAAGAGAGAGAGGAAAAGTTGGGTCTCTTCCAAAGAGTTAATGTTCCACAGTATGATCGATTAGGTGTCAGATGTAATTTCAAACCAATACAAGATGAATGGCATAATTTCCCCTCTCTCATTTTAGACAGAATTAAGAATCCATTAGCTAACACAAATTTTTGGCAAGTTTAATAGGAGCTCAAATCTACATTCAGAGGAAACGCTCCCCAAAGCCTGTTTCAAGCTTTTACTCCTCAGGCCCCTGGCCTCCAGTGTCCTCCCGACCCTCACAAGCCCTCTGTCGTCTGTCCCCACATGCAGCCCCCTCTCCCTTCCCCTAGCCTTCCCACATGCCCCTCCCTGGCCCAGCCTGAGATTAACTGGCCTGACCCCTCTCACAAAGGCCGGGCCTGCCCACCATTGTCTTCCAGGGGCGAAGCGGGGGGGGGGGGGGGGGGGGGGGTTGGGGGGGGTGGGGGGGGTGGCTGGCAGTAGGCCCAGGAAAGGAGAGAGGTTGCTGAATTGGCCCCAGGCTGCAGACAAACCCTAGGGAGAAGGGTGAACTGGGGCTTTGGGACCATTTGCGTCTCAGCTACTCCCCACTTTCACCCCCAGGAAAGTTCTTGTTTTTGCCCTAGACAAAGCATTACCCAGTTCCTGAGGGGAGACGCAAACCCCATTCTGCCTTTTACATTTACATGTATTAGTGTATAGGGTCAATCTGAGAGATTAGAAGAACAGGTACCATCCCATTCTACAGATGGGAAAACTGAGGCTGGGGGAGGTGATTAGAGTCAGCTGGGCCCAAGGGTAAAACCTGGCTCTGCTACTTGCTTGCTTACTAGGGCCTTTAGGCATTTCCTCTGGGCCTCGATTTCCTCATCTGTAAAATGGGAGGAACCTTGGTCCCCAGTGCAGAGTATTATCCTGAAGGACAAATGAGAAAGCCAAGTATCCACTCTGCACGAGCTTCATGAATCAGCTCCAGCCCCTCCCCTCCAATCTCACAGCCTGATCTGGAAGACCAACCTGTAGACTGAGGTCTGTCCTGGAAAGCAAAAGAGGCTAGAATCATAATTATAATAATATAATAGTAATTATGACAGCTTCCAATTACTGGGCACTTATTCTGTGCTGAGAGTGGGAACCAAGTCTTTTTACATAGTAACTCATTAGACATTTATCAGTATCATCACCTCACTTTCCAGGTCAGGAAACTGAGGCACAGATAAGTGAAGTAATGAGTGAAGTGTTAGGAAGTGGCAGAGCTAGAATTCCAACTCAGGCAGCCTGGTCCTAAGGCCTGTGGCTCTCTACCCAGTGCTAAGCGGAGGTAAAGGTCTGGGGTTGTGGAGGACCAGGATGTGATCCCAGACCCTGGGACTGGAAAGGCTTCACAGAGGCTTGACTTAGGTCTTAACAGATGAATAGGAGTCTACCAGGTGGGCAAGGAGAGAAAGAATGTTCTAGGCAGTGAGAACAGCATGTGCCAAGGCACCGAAAGAAGTCTCAGCATGGGGATGGTGAGTGACGCACTGTGCCAACCAAAACATGGGGTTCATGTGGAGGATGGCAGGAAACAGGTTGGATGGGCAGGCCAGGTGCTTCATTCTGACAATCCTGCTCTGAAAAATGGGGATTCTAACTTCTACAGCTAACCTTGCATGTCATGCTCAGGAGTTATGAGTTTTTCATGTTGTTATAATAATAGAGCTAGCATCTTCCATGTGCCAAATGCTTTATATCAATTGCTTTGTTTCTTCATTATAGTAACCACACAAAGCAAGCACTGTTACCGTGTTTTTCAGATGAGTAAACTGAGGCCCAGGGATACTAAGTAACTGCAGAGCCTCAGAGACATGGCTAGAAAGTGAGAGAAGTGACCATCCAACCCAGGTCTGACCCCAAAACCCAAACTCTTAAATCACTCTGGTTGCTGTGTCCTGGTAGGCAGTGGGGAACTGGGGAGAGATTTTGGCAGGGAGTGATGGGTTGGACTGAGTTTCAGGAAAAGAAAAGTTTCAATTGGAGCAGAGTGTGATTGGAGGCTCCATCTGGAACTTTCCTCTGGACCAGAGCAATGGAGAATCCTGGGGGGAAAAGCCCTCCCTCATCCATGGGGATGGAAGAGAGGGCCTCCTGGAGCCTAAGTAGTAATAATCATAACAATACCAATTCTTCAGTGTCCACCCTGTGCCTGGAGCTTCCCACAGGCACCTCCAACTCATACAATGCTGAAGGGCAGACACCTTTAGCCCCATTTTACAGATGAGAAAGCCAAGAATCAGAGAGGTTGACACACAGTTGTGGTCTGGCAGAGTTGGTACTGGCCCACAGCCCTGGCCTTCCTCGCACCTCACTTCCAGAAGGTGGTTGGGCTACACATCAGACACCAGTTCTTCCCTCTTGACGTGGCTTAATATTCCCTGAGGGACCTATGGAGCTGTCTCTGCGTTTGGACCCCAGCGAGTGGCTTTGAGGTAAGGGAGGTGGAAAGGGGATGAGGAAGAGCGGAGGAGAAGAGAAGTTGGAGAGGGATGAGCTCTGGAACTCTGAGGGGAGAGTCATCAGTCATTTTTACCTGTCACTGACCACTCAGGAAGATGTCCAGGTCATGGTTAGAGGAAGATGAATGCATTCAGTTATCTTAGCCCTTAAGTGGAGAAGAGGCTTCATACCTTTGCCTCATTTTCTAACTTTTGGGAAGTCCTTCCTGTTATCTAACTCCCATCCCTCCTAATGAACCCACAGACAATCCCAGTAGTCAGTTCCAAGGAAGAGCCCCTGCCCATGCACCCCACTATGAGGATATATCTGGTCACCTTCCTCATGGGGTAAGGAGTCAAGGGGTGGGGGAATATTGTGCCTCCTTAGCTTTAGGTCACTGCATACCCAGAGGTGGGGTGGGGGGCTATGTTCCCAAGTTATCCCACTGAAGGAAGGAAATATCCCCCTCAGCAGAGAGGGGAAGGACTAGCAGTCTCTAGGGTGGGGGTGGGGGAGTACCTGCTGGGGCCACAGCCTGAAAAACGGGAAATCTCTGAGTTTGGGTAAAATTACTTCAATTGCTGGGTATCATAGCCAAGAGTATATAAAAGAATTCATATCCCTGCCTGGGTGAGAAATAATGTGAGCCCAGGGCCACCCTTAAGGGAGAGAACTTGGGGAGGAGACTGGAGAGAATACTTAAGAAAAAATGACTTTGAGGGAAAGAATTCGGGCTTTAGAAGCAAAAGGGCTCAAGTTAGAATCTGAGCCCACCTGCTGCAAAAGCAAAGCTCCCAGGGCAGCCTTGTTCATTTATTCGCCACATGTTCATTGATAGCCTACCCTGTGCCAGGCACTGTTTGAGGCTCTGCAATATTTCAAAGATCCTTGCCTTCGAGGACCTTATATCCTAGCTGGGAGATGGGCATAATACATCAGTAAATTATATTTATGTTAGAAGGTAGTAAGTGTTATGGGGGGAAAGTTCATGAAAAGGTGATCTAGATTGGGGGGGTGTGGAGGTTGCCATTTTAAGTAGAGGGTCAGGTTAGACCTCTTTTGGAAGAGGAGAATTTGAACTAAGACCTGCAGGGGTGAAGAAATTGACAAGGTAGGTATCAGAGAGCAGCCAGCAAGCAGGCAAGCCAGAGTCTGAAGGGCCCAAGGGGGGGTCAATGGACTGGAGGGATCCAGGGAGAGCAGAAGCAGGTGAGGCCTGAGTGGGAATGGGGAAAGGCACAGACTCCATGGGGCCCCATAGACCTTTATATAGGTTTTGGTTTTCTCTGGAAATAAAATGGGGAACCTGGCCAAATTTCCAGTGAGGGAAAACATGATCAGACAAATGTTTCAAAGGATCACTGTTGCTCCTATAGAGAGAATAGACTGGGGCTGGGGGAGGGAAGTAGGGGAGAGGTGAGAGAAGAAGCAGGGAGCAGGGAGATCCGGTAGTTGCTGAATCTAGCTGAGTCTCAATGTTCTCATTTGTCAAATGGGAATAAAAATGTGTCCCAGAATGTGTGCAATAAAAGTTTTGTGTGTATGTCTCCAGCCTTTAGCAGATGCAATTCAACGAAGTCTCACTGAGTGAAAAAATGAATGATTATCTTTCCATGCCCTCCTCACTTACATAACTCCTATCCCAAGCCCTGAAACAGCTCCTTGGAAGGTTCTAAAAACCAACAAACATGGATTCTTTTTTTTTTTTTAATATTTTATTTATTTATTTGGCAGTGAGAGAGGGAACACAAGCAGGGGGAGTGGGAGAGGGAGAAGCAGGCCTCCTGCCGAGCAGAGATCCTGATGCAGAGATCCTGATGCGGGGCTCGACCCCAGGACCCTGGGATCATGACCTGAGCCGAAGGCAGATGCCTAACGACTGAACCACCCAGGCACCCCAACACACATGGATTCTCATCCCAATTAGCCACTCTTCTTCATCTGTAAAATGGGGATAATATTATCTACTCCCCAGGTCGTAAGCACAGTAAGTGAATGCTATCATTCTTGGAGGACTTAGGCAGTGAGACTGATTATTCTTGCAATAGCCTGCCAGAGGCCATCCATTTGATGTTCTCCAGGGTTAAGTCTGAAAATGAAGAGCAAGGGGAAAAAAAAAAAAAAAGAAAATGAAGAGCAGGGAAGAGTCAGGCTGGTCAGGGCAGAAGGAGAGAAGGAGGAGGAAAGAGTCCCTTGGATAACACCAAGAGAGTTGGTGTTATGGATTGCCCAGGGGGTGGAGGTGAGTGGAATATTGTGTGTCTGGGGCGGGAAAGAAAAGAAGACCAAAAGAGAAAAAAAGAGAGAGAGAAATTCAGGCACCCAAGAGCTGGTCCCCAGGAATGCAACTTTTGAGATCCTTAATCTCAATATCTTTATTATTGAGTTCATTCATACTGCATGTGTTTATTGAGTACCTATTATGTATCTGGTCCTGTCCTATGTGCTGGGAGTGCTACTATTAAAAAAAAAAAAGGCCCTGCCCACAGAGAGCTTGTGTGTGAATATGAGGTGGGAAAACTAGAGGAGGAACATAATAAATGTATAACATACATAGCATGTTAGATGGTGATATGTATTTTTTTTAATTTTTTATTCTTATGTTAATCCCCATACATTACATCATTAGTTTTAGATGAAGTGTTCCATGATTCATTGTTTGTGCACAACACCCAGTGCTCCATGCAGAATGTGCCCTCCTCAATACCCACCACCAGGCTAACCCATCCTCCCACCCCCCTCCCCTCTAGAACCCTGTTTGTTTTTCAGAGTCTAGATGGTGATATGTATTAAAGAGAAAAATAAAGCAAAGAAGAAGAGGGAAAGGAGGTGCAGTTTTTGATGGGGTAGTCAGGGAAAGCTTCTTAGAGAAGGTGGTGTTTTATTTTGGTTGCCTAGGGCTGTGGGGGTTGAAAGGAACGGGGAGTGACTGCTAAAAGGGGGATGAAATGTTCAAAATTGTGGTGATGGTCACACAACCCCATGAATATATTTAGAAACCATTGAATTGTACACTTTTCTCTAAAAAAGAATTTATTTGGGGTGCCTGGGTGGCTCAGTTGGTTAAGCCTCTGCCTTCGGCTCAGGTCATGATCCCAGGGTCCTGGGATGGAGCCCTGCATCGGGCTCCCTGCTCCATGGGGAACCTTGTTCTCCCTCTCCCTCTGCCTGCCACTCCCCCTGCTTGTGCGCTTGCTGTTTACTCTCAAATAAATAAATAAAACCTTAAAAAAAAGAATTTATTTATTTGAGAGAGAGAGTGAGTGCGGGAGGGGTGCAGAGGGGCAGAGGGAGAGGGAGAGAGAATCTCAAGCAGACTCCCCGCTGGGCACTGGGCCCAATGCAGAGACCACAACCTGAGTCAAAATCAAGAGTCAGACGCTTAACCGACTGAACCACCCAGGTGCCCCGAATTGTACACTTTAAATGAGTGAATTATAACTTAGCAAAGCTGTTATTAAAAGAAAAAAAAATCATCCAGCCTGCTGCACCACAAATAGACTGAAGGGACCAAGGGCAGAAACTGTGGTCATCCAGGAGAGAGGGGACGGCAGCTTGGACCAGGGTGGTAGCAGTGGGGTGATGAGAAGTGCTCAGATTCTGGATTGATTTTGAAGGCACAACAGACAGATTTGCTTCTGAATCAGGTATGAGGTGTAAAAGCATTGTCAAAGATGACTCCAGAATTTTGTGCTTAGGAAACCGAAAGAGCTAAGGAACTAGAGGCCAGGAAAGGGAGAGGGGCTGGCCTGAGGGTACCAGTCACCAAGGTTAGCGCTGGGATTCTGAAAGGAGGCGGTATGATTGGTTAGATCTGCAGACCCTGAGCCCTACCACATTGCAGAACCTCTCCCAGCCTTGGTGCTGCAGCTTGCCTTCTGGGATCTACAAAGACTGATTGGGGCAGATCCGACTCATTTAAGGTGCTGGGAGAGCATTCGTTCCTTCTCTTTCCCTTTCCTTCCCGACCTTCCTTCCGTGGACATGAGACAGCTCTGAGCCAGGAGTGCAGGAGAGAATGAAGAGGGGGAGTATTGCAGACCTTAGGCCCCAGAGGGAGTGCTGGTCGGAGTCTGGGCATTGCTCCCAGCTGTCTGGATCCTATAATGGAGAGAGAAGAAGGGGAACATGCTCACCCCCCTGAGCCTGAAGGGTGGGCAGTCTGTGCCTCCACCCTCTTTAGAGGCTGGGAGGCTGGTGCCTACACATTTGGGGTTGGCAGAGGATGATCTCTGAGTCAGTTCTCCCCAAGCCGGTGAGAGATTCTAGGAAGCTTTTAATTACCGCCTCAGAGTGGATGCTAGGTTAATGCGATGATTCGAAAGGTGTATTTTTCAATTATATTTAACCAAAAGATTTATAGTGAAGTAAAATATAATTAGGAGGCTGCCAGCAGACAGGCTTCCTGGGAGGAAGAGAGATGAGACAGACCCCTAATGGGGCAGGTTGGAGCCCAGGCTGCAGGACCTGCTCACCCCACCCCCACCCTGCAAGATGTCAAAGCATTCATCAATTCTGCCATTCCAACACACTGACTCAGTACCTACTCCATGCTGGGCTCAGAGTTTACCAGGGGGACAGAACAAACACTACGGTCCCTGTCCTCAGAGAGCTTACAGACTAGCAGGGTGGGCAGACCAAAAAAAAAAAAAAAAAAAGCAAGGCAACAGTTAAGTACTGCAAAGGAAATAGTAGAAAAGGCATCAGCAAAGGTTTCTCGGGTGGACATGGGGGTGGACCAACTGAGACTCAAAACATGAAAAGGAGCCAGCCATGAAGAGTGGGAGAGAGGTGAGAAGATTGGTTGGGCCAAGAAAGCCGTCCAGTTCCCTAGGGTGAGAAGGTGATCTTACTGTGTTCAGAGTGGAAAGAAAGGCCACCGAGGCTGGGGTATGGAGAGGGAAAGTCAGGGGCTGGGGCATGGAGAGGGAGAGGCAGGGGCTGGGGCTGGGAGAGGGAGAGGCAGGGGTGGAGGACTGTGGGGAGGGAGGGAGGGACCAGATCCAGCTGATAAGGAGTTTGGATTTCATTCTAGGAGCTGAGGAAGCTGCTGGAGAATTTTAAGCCAGAGCGAAAGGCCCGGCTTATATTTTTCTTTTCTTTTTTTTTTTTTTTAAAGATTTTATTTATTTATTTGACAGAGAGATAGTGAGAGCAGGAACACAAGCAGGGGGAGTGGGAGAGGGAGAAGCGGGCTTCCTGCCGAGCAGGGAGCCCGATGTGGGACTCAATCCCAGGACCCTGGGATCATGACCTGAGCCGAAGGCAGACGCTTAACGACTGAGCCACCCAGGCGCCCCCGGCTTATATTTTTAAAAGATTACCCTAGCTGCTACGGGAGAACGGTTCAGAGTGGGGCAAGGTGGGAAGCCAGAGCAGACACCCAGAGGAGAGGTGATGTGACCTAGCTTAGAGGGAAGCAGTAAGGTAGGAGAGAAGAGCCTGGACTCATATGCCTATTGGAGCAAGGATCAGTGGCTCTTGCTGAGAGTCTATATGGAGAATGAGAGGAAGGGGGAACTCAAGGATGAGTCCAGGTTTTCGGCTTGAGCAACCAACTGGATGCTGCCCTTTACTGAAATGAGGAAGCTCAGAGAAGAAATAGGTGGGAAGACGTGTGGATAAAGAGTTCAGATTTGGGGGGCGCCTGGATGGCTCAGCCTGTTAAGTGTCTACCTTCTGTTCAGGTCATGATCCCAGGGTCCTGAGATGGAGCCCTGCATCAGGCTCCCTCTTCAGTAGGGATACTGCTTCTCCCTTTCCCTCTGCTCCCCCTGCTTACCCTCTCTCTCTGTCAAATGAATGAATAAAATCTATTTTTTTTAGATTTTTATTTATTTATTTGACAGAGAGAGTGAGAGAGAGAGAGCACAAGCCAGCCAGATGCCCTAAAATCTTTATTTAAAAAAAGAGATCAGATTTGGAATGGAGACCCTCTAGGGGCTTCCCTGGCCCTGAAGGATGGAGGTCTGGATGCTTCACCCCAAGGGGGTCCATCTCACCACCTCATTCTATTGCTCCCCACCTTGTCTAACTTTTGTATGTCTAACTTCCATTCCTCCTATTGCACTTGGGAGCGCATGCTTCTCTCTTTGGAGAGCACATTCTGTCATTCTCAGCTCCCTTTAACTGCCTAAATTCCTGAAATTCTACCACTAAGTTCGTACTGTACTGTACTCGTACTCATTGAGAACCCACTATGGGTCGGACACCATGCTGTAAGCGTTGGCTACGTTATTTCCATCCAATCCCACTAACCACTCTTTCCATAGTATTAATATAACAATAATAATAGTGACCATTTAATGACAACTCTCTCGAACTAAGCCCTTAAATTGAATTATATTTAACTTTTTTAAAGTTTTTTATTTATTTAAGTAATCTGTACACCCCATGTGGGGCTCGAACTCACAACCTCGAGACCAAGAGTTGCACACTCCTCTCCTCTGACCAAGTCAGCCAGGCGCCCCTACATGAATCATATTTAAATCTCACTGAGAAATAACCTGCCCAGAGTCGTATAGCCAGTTAGTATTGAGAATGGGATGAGAAATCTAGGATTGTCTCCAGTACACCAGACTCTCTGGGGGCATGAGAACTGCATGGATGATGAAAGGGAAGAGCTATTTGGATGCCTTTCCTCTCCCCCTCGCTCATTCTTGCCCAGATGAAGCACAGAGGCAACATTATTCTCTCAGACTTCCTTCCCTGGGTGCAGTGGGCAAGCACCCCGATGACAACCCCCAGGCATGCACTGTGCTGGGCAAATCTGCCCATTTGTTGGGGAGGGAACAGTTGTTATAGGAGCTACCACATCCTTAGAGGCGTTGCCTGGTATCAGAAGAGATGAGTGCCCAACCATGTAATGAGGGGTCCTGCTCTGTGACCCAGAGAGGTGATTCTTATATCTCCCATCCTCTGAGAATGGCTTAACACATTTGTGCAGGAATTGGTGTGCACACATGTGTAAACCAGAACAGGCCTGCC